TTATCCAGATTATTTACCAGAGAGTTACCAGGATTACCACCAAGGAGGGGAAGTTGGAGTTACCATAGATGTCTATCCTGGAGTAAGCACCAGTATCAAAGTGCAACCTTACAGAAATGGCACTAGCCGAGCTAAAAGAGTTGAAAGATCAGCGGCAGAGTGACGGAGAAAAAGCTTAGCACACCCAGAGCACCGGACACCAAGAAAAAAAAAGACACAACAGACACAACCAACAAAACAAAAACTTGAGGATCTCATTTGTTGTTGTTGAGAGAGAGTAATTCCACCAATATTATATTTATCGGAAAAATGACGCATCACCAATTATCTATAGCAATCACACCCAAATCCTTCAATATTCAAAACCTTATATAAAAATCATGTATACTCCAATTCCATCTAGAAAAAAATACTCACTCTCAAGATTATAAGCAATTCTACTGAACCAACAATTCATGTAATTTCTCAAATACAGATACTAATCAATACTTCAGTTAAAATGGATTTCTAATGTTCCATCAAATTCAAATCATTTAGTGTCTCTTATTAAATAATTAGCAACTCATTTCTGCCAATTCCCGCGGGCCACACGTATTACAAACATTCTGCAGTCTTCAATATATATATTCCATATAACACGTATTAAATAAAAATAATGATACTTTCTATACTTTCATCATTTAACTTTAACTTATTAATCATATATAACTTATCTTCTTACCTACTTAAATTATATATGAATATTATTTATTCCATAGAAAGATTTTTTTTGCTTAAACCATCCCTTAGCATCAGTAACTAAATCACATTTCTAAAGAACAAGGATACAGATTTTAATCATTAAACAACTTGACTTTATCCTAGCTGCGAATCACGCTGAATGGGAAAGCAAGGAAAACTATGTCAAGACATGACAGGAATTACTCCGCAGTTACATCTAGACTTATGAACTTTTGCTCTGATACCACCTTTGCCCGTAGTAAGCCTAAATTATCCAATCTGTCTACCTATCTTGCCCAATTAATTCATCAAAACAGTAAGCCTCAATCTCAATTAACACAGAATATCTAACCAGGACCTATTCACAATAAATTATAATCAGATTATGGGCTTATTAGTTCACTTGCAGTTAATTACATAATATTTAATTTATAGTGTAATGCTAACAATAAGTCCAATAGTAATACACAACCCTATAACTGCGGAGTTCAAAAAAAAAATCTGATAATAGAGTAACTTATACATCCAAAATTAAATAACAGAAATATAAAGTTTACATTTATAACTCTGCGGAGAAGATTGCAGAGCTTCAGTGAATCAGCTGCTTCCTAGTACCTGGAAGGTTTGTTGGGGAGGGGTGAGTTTTGCAACTCAGTGAATAATAATAAATAATACACACCACATACAGTCAAGCAAAATGCACCATAATATACTGAATGAACACACAACAGTCAATCATATGACATTACATCAGCACCCACAAACAATATCACCTTCAAATAATCACATCACGTGGAAATTAGTAATTGGTCTGTGGCGTCACCGAAACCCCCCCGTCCTCCCACATGGCTCATCCTCTCACATGTGCACCAGGGAGCCGACCCCCCATACTGACCGACCCGGGTTTTCTAATTTCTTTTTTTTCACTTGGGACCAGCCCTCTCATTGTTTCCATTAATCTCTTTTCTTTTCCCATACCAAACAGGAGGCAAACCCGTCGTCTCCATCAATCTAGATCACAGGCCGCTCACAACAGAGAGGCACCCTGCGGGCTAGCGATCCAAATTCTAGATTATCCGGTGCGCCCAATAAAGAAGCCAACCTTGTTAACAGTAAGGGGTAACGGTTTAGTTTCTTTTCCATACCAACAAGAGGCCACCCTGTAGTTTTCCATATCATCCATATCATATCATCAGGTGCACACGAGGGCGCCGATCTCCCATACATGGCCGACGGTATCGAAGACCGCCCTCACAAAACCCATGGTGACCTACTTCATCCCAACTCCACACAAACAAATCATACCATTATCACATCACAATTAATCAAGCACTGCAATTAAATATAAGCATAACAAACAAGTAAATATCATGATGTAAGTGCATAATTGGACATTTACATTCAATCACAATTAAATAAAGGAGTAGTAATTTAACAATATAATATAATAATTGATTCTTGGAATAAATAAATAAATAATAAAATAGCACAATGCAGTGTGAATACATTATTTATATTACTCACAGTGATGGGAGCAGCGAAATGTTAGCTTTTGATGTTGTCCTGGAGGAGCAACTAGATGGACCCGGGCGATCGAAGCAAAGTAAGAATGACACCAAAAAGGCAATAACTCTATCAGACAAAATCATTTCTTTACCCTGCTAAATAATTTTATTTATATTCTAAATTTTTCTACGTAATTTAATCTCGATGATTTATTCTTTTCTGTAATAAATTTTATTTCCTCATCTAACCTTATTTCATTATTTTCTTTCTAAAATCGATTTTATTCCTACCGAATCTATTTAATTTCCGACCGAATTATTTTATTTTTCTACCGAAATTTATTTTTATTTTCTACTGAAATTTATTTTATTTTCTACCGAAATTTCGGCAACATCTCCCCTAAAAATTGAACTATTTACCTGTTAAAATATCAACAATATATTAATAATTCCAAACCACACGGCCCATCCATCGGGCAATCAATCAATTCAATTTTTCTCATCCTCCATCCGAATAACAATATCAACACTACATTCAACCTTAACATCACCCCCTACATCCATAATTTATAAATTAAAATTACATACAATATAATCTACCTTCAATCTACACTTAAATTCCATAAATTTTATTATTACCAAAATTTCCTAATAAATCTGAATTTAATTTTAACTAACTATTATTTTTTTATGAATCATAATTACTTCATGATTAATTTAATACTGAATTTAATTTTAACTAACTATTATTTTTATTAATCAAGTAATTAAACTAATCAGTAGATCTAGCCAAATTAAATTAATTTAACTAATCAAAATTGATAAATTAAATTAATTACTCAAGATTACTAAAACCAATTACTAAAATCAAGTTAATCAACTAAAATTATTAGAATTAAACTAACTAAAATGACTAGATTTAATTAACTATCATTAATAAAATTAAATTAACGAAAATGTAGTTAAATTAATTTATACCCCAAATATAATTTTTTTTTTTTTGTCGAATTTTTTGCTAGATCGGAAATTTGCTCGTGTCGGATCGGAGCTACGCACGCCGGAAGTGGTCGGATCCGACTGACAGTGGCAAGGGAAGGCGAGGCCGGATCCAACTGACAGTGGCGGAGAGAGGCGGAGACAGTGGCGATCGGCGGCGGTGGCACACGGTCTGGCGGAGGAGCGGCTGGCAGCGAGGCTTGAAGCTGGTGCTGCTATTGTAGGCGCGACAGGCCTGGCAGACGGCTGACTGTGGCGCGCGGAGGAGCTACGGGACGTGCTGGCGCGCTATGAAGGCGGTGCGACTGCAACTGGCACGCGGTGGTGATCGACTGACGTTGCTGGAGCTGCTGGAGTTGCTGGCAGTGACGCACAGTTGCAGGGAAGAAGAAAGGGAAAGAAAGGAAAAAGGAAAAGAAAGAAAAGGGAAGAAAGAAAGAAAGAAAGAAGAGAAGAAGAAGAAGAAGAAGAAGGGAAGAAGAGAGGGAAGGAGGAGGCGCGGTGGCTGTGTCTGGTGGGAGTGGAGGGGAGGGGCGCTGGTGGGATGAGATAGTAGAGGTGCAGCGCTGGAGATAAAAAAGAAAAGAAAATAGATGCTTCTAATTGGTTTGGGTCGAAAACCCGGTTCGGATTCGTTCGATTCGACCCCAAATCTTTTTGATTTTCAATTTGGTTTTCGGGCTTTTTTCAAATCGGTTTTCGATCGATCTTCTTTTCGATTCGATTTCTCACAATGTTCGCAATAAAATATTAAAATAAATTTCCAAGCTGTCGGTTTATTAAATTTAATTGGAAAATCTTTGAAAATAAAAATTCGGGTTGTTTCATAAACATTATTGACTTTTGTGAATATAGTTTGTATTTGTTAATTGAAATTTGTATTCTTTTGACAATTAATACATGTAAAATGTTAGTTGATTTACTTTAGTAATGGATAAAATTTCTTTGTTAATCTGTATAAAAGTACGAATGGGGAACATTGAGTCCCTAAAATGTCCCTACGGACTTTTGATTTTAGTGGTAAATCAAAAATATCATCAAGGATAATTTAGTCATATCTAATTATGAAACTTTAATTTTATTGGTTGAAAAATAAAGGTAGTTTAATTTTGATTGGTTATGTTAATTTCCTATTTGAATCTAAATTTTATTAGGGAAAGTTAAATCTAAATCTATAGGAAATTCTCCAATTTAGACTTTAATTTTATTGGTTTAGGAATTTTATATTCATTAATATCGAAATTATCATTTAATATTCAAATTTTTCTTATTCTAACAGTTAGGAAATATTGTCTTTAATATCATTTCTAAATTTGTCCTTTAATATCATTCTAATTAGGATTTTGTCATATCATAACATTATATATATGTTTAGTTTTAATTACTTTTGACTATCAAGAATTATTACATAAAGCTTTTGTCAATTTGAAATTATTGAATTTACAATCATGTCTTCTTCTTGTGGTAAGTATCCTTATAAATTTTTAATTTTAATAATTGATTAAAAATATTATTAAGGATAATTTAGTTTTATTATAATTAGAAAATTATTAATTTTATTGATTGATTAAAAGTATCATTAAAAATAATTTAATGTTATTCTAATTAAAAAAATTTTAATTTTTTTGATTGATTGATTAAAATTATATAATAATTTTTAATTAGATTAGTTATATTAGTTTCCTTAATCAGATTTTTCTAATTAATTAACAAATCTTGTTTGTTTCATTGGGTTCTACAAATAGGTTTCCGTTTCTAAAGTTATAACCTGAATTGATTTTTATTAACTAACATAGTTTCATTCTTCTTCCGTTGCTAAGAATTGGGAAAGTGTTCCACAAATAGTTTAGCATTGAAATTTTTACCCGTTGCTAAAGTTATAACCATAAATTGATAACATGTTTTGCATCTTTTTCTTTTTTTTCTTTCTCCTTTTATTTTATATTTTATTATGACTATAAGATTAATATTTGTCAAGATAATATTTTTTATTTTTTATTTTTTAATTTCAAATATTTCAATGAAAGAAAGGTAACTATGAGAATTTCAATATTCAAAATATAATATAATATTAAATTATAATTTTTTATATGTATAGGAATCTAAATTTTTATTTGCTATCTTTATTGGTTGATTAACAATATCATTAATGTTATTGGTTGATTAACAATATCATTAATGATAATTTAATCCCAATTAGAAAAATTTTAATTTTATTGGTTGATTAAAATTTTATAATAATTTTTAATTTGATTGGTTAATACTATTCAATTAAACATATAAAACTAGGAAATATAAAAATAGAAAACCGGAAATTTTTTTATAACTTGACCCTAAAATAAAATCAATTAAAAATAAAGTTAAAGATTTAGTTAAGAAACACGAAGAATAAAATAAATAGTGATGATAATAATAAGTAAGTAGACAGTTAGTAGCTAAGTAAGAACATGAACGTTGGAAAGGTTTGAGTAGACAATTTTGATATAGAGGTTAAGTTGCAACCAGATTTGGGATACATGACTCTTTAAATGTTTGAATGAAGAAGATAACATAAGGAACGGACTTTGATGGCTTAAGGGCATAGGAATAATATATAACAAGTTGTAATATATATTAGGAGCAAGTGGTAGATAAATTTGAGGAATTTATAAATATCTTGCTAGACTTAAGTAAGGAGAAGATTGATTGAGTTGTAATATATATTAGCCATTAGTTTGAATTCTTGATATAATGTGAAGGAGATTAATATTATACTCCAAAACTTTGATATGAAATAATTAACTTATGTGTTATGGCTGCTAGTTAGGAACTTTGCTATTATTTTTTCATTGAAGTATAAACTGAAATTCTATAGAGAAACGAATAAATTATTTAGTTTAACACAAAATTTGGTAAAAGAAATTCAGTTATTGATGTCTATTTAGTTGATGTGATATTTGGATAACAAGACAGCATTAAGACGGAATCTAAGAAATTTTATTAAGCACCTTCGTGTTGATGGGTATTAGGTATAAGCGAGTATTTAAGGTAAGTAATAAATGTTAGGTCGAAATACTGGTAATACATAAATGATGAATAACGACGATTAGGAGCACGAAAGAAATCAAGTTGACGACATAATTAATAAGACACTCTAATATCCTTAGAATGGACCAATAAGCAACATAGGTAGTTTGGGAGATTATTAAAAGGAAAATGAGCTAGGAGAGCTGAAAGGTGAACTATTAATAGATGTTATTATGAAAGTAAATTTTTAGAGATAACTATTAAGGAAATTTAAAGAATAAGTATTAGAGAGAGATTGATGCTTATGCAGAAAGCATTAAAATCTCTGTAGAGGTAAGATAACTATGGAGTGCAATGAGATCCTTTAGTCCAAGAGCTGTCTGATAGTTGAACCGGTGTATGGCAAGAATATTATAGGGAGAATAGGACCTGTATAGATAGGAACTAAGAGAGTGAGCTTAAATCGCCCTGTGATACTAAAGACAACGAAAGTTGCACGACGATTTCTGAAATTTTGAATTAAAGTAATAGCTTTCAAATCTTTTTGATTGAGGAGAGTGTTAGTAATTATATATGTGAATTAAATGAGTTAATTCTTATTATTATAAATAAATCAAGTTTTAGTTGTTTTTACTTTCATAAATCATGTGTTTGGTCTTCATAAATATGAATTTGCTTTCATAAAATACGTGTTTTTGGTTAGGTTTATGGAAAGAGCTTCTTTATTTTAGCACTGTTTACTTTTAACTCTATTTGAACGTGGTTTTCATGGAGGCATACCTAGGCTTGGCCAAATCACGGTTCCTGGAACCGGAACCGTCGGTTCGAACCGGTCCGGAACCGGAACCGGGAACCGGAAACCGGTGAGAACCGGAACCGGGACGAACGGAACCGAATATTCCGGTTTCGTTCCGGTTCCAGATTTTCTGGAACCCCGAACCGGCGTTCCAGAAAACCGGTCAGGAACCGGTTGAAAAACCCGTTCTCCGGCCGGTTGAACCGTCCGTTCGAACCGGTTCGAAAGGAGGTTTTCTTATAAACTGTCACACCAAAAAAAAAAAAAACAAAAAAGGCTCCTTTTAGAGCAAAAAGAAACCCCAGGACCCCACCACTCTGGTCCACCAAACCTTAACACAATAAAATTAAACCCTACGCCTACACCCTACAAAGTATGGACAACAGAAAAAATGAAATAAAAATAAATACATATTCTTCTTGATTAATTCATTGGTCGAACGTTGTTGTTTTTTTTTTTTTTTTATTGTGAAATCTATTAATTATTCCTCCAAAATAGCTAAATAAACGGCTTAATAACGGCTAGTTTCAGGGTTATTTTGTTGAAAAAAATTAATTTTTTGGATTTATTATAAAATACCTCATTTCATTTACAAATTATTACAAAAAAAATTCTCTACTCTCTCTACTTACTCTCTCTACATATTATTTTTACTATAGTTCAAACTTTTGTAAACAAAAAATATTTCAGCTTGAAGGAATTTTTTTGTAAAAAAAGGAATTCATATTCAAGTCTTGTAAAAAAATAATTCTAATTGTAGAATTTTTTAATTTTTTAGTGTATTTTTTTTATAAATAACTTCACAAATTTATAATTTTGAAAACCGGTCTTCAAAATTTAAAATTTAAAATTATGTATTCACCGGAAAATCATCGGAACGTTCGGTTTTATCACCGCGATCGGAACCGTCGGTTTTATCACCGGACCGGAACCGGAACCGGAACCGTCCGGTTCCAAACCGGAACCGGAACCGGACTTTTTCGGTTCCAGTTTTTTTGGAACCGGAACCGCCGGTTCCGGAACCGTGGCCACCCCTAGGCATACCTACTAAAATTTAAATTTTCAATAGAATTATATAATCTTGAGAAAAATATATATAATATATATTATGCATTTTTCTGCTAAACCCGGTATTATTGTAAAATTTTTACCAAAGAAAGATTTTTCCTAAAAGATTCAATAGCTAACTGATGATAGAATTTGGAGGCTAAGCTAATAGATAAGATTAAGTTTCTCGAAAGCTTTAGCTAGGTGGTACTAAATAGTTGAACGAAATTTTATTCTAAATATGATGGTTGGTGATAGAAGTACAATCAGAATACCCCATCCCCTTCCTTTCCTTGATCTATATTATTCGCTCTTGAATTGTCTCTTTTTTATTTGAAGTAATTTTTTATAACCTTGAAGTCGCCTATGTGTCCAATCTTACTCTTTCTTATTAGATTTCAATTCAAGGACGAATTGTCCTGAGGGAGGAAATTGAAACACCCGTAATTTTATTTTCGAAACTTTTGAATTTTTAATAAATCAAAAATCAGGATTTTTGCATGTGTGGGCTGCAAGTACTTTATAACCTTAATCCGCATCCAAATTCGCGAGTTGGGCCCAAGCCCAAAGTATAGTGTGGCAACTCCTAACTGAGGATTTTCTAAACTTCTTTAAGTATTATATTGGACGATAAATTTTAAATCAATTAATATAAATCAATTGGACCTTTAAACCAGTTTGAATTTTCTAAAAACCAAGTGAAAAACTCGAAAATCAAACAAAAATTGAGCAAAATCATTGAATTGAGCCAAACGGGTTCGAATCGAATCGGAATGCCCCATAAAATTCCAGAAACCATTTTCTTTTTTTATCTTTCTTCTTCTTCCCTCTTGAGCGCCCGTCTCCTCCTCTCGTTTTTCTGACGACCAGAGACCCCGCGCCGCGCCTCCTCGCCGTCGACTCCTCGCCGCAGCAGTTCGGCCTTCCTTTCCCTTCTCTCCGTTTCCATTTCTTGTGAGCGCAAAAGTCACAACGAAGCCGCGACTTCAGCCCGATCGAGACAGTCGCGTCTTCGTCCTTCTCTCCGAGCAACTCCGGCGACTATCGCCGACAAGGTAAGCCGATTATCCTCCCTCCTCACTCTTTTGCAAATTATTTTGTATAGAATAGGCGATTTATTGAAGGAATTGATCAAAACTCCGGCGACTTATCGCCGACACAGGTAGCCGATTATCCTCCCTCCTCACTCTTTTGCCAAAATTATTTTGTATTAGAATAGGCGGATTTATTGAAGGAATTGATCAAAATGGGGACTTAGTGGAATTTACAAGATATAATAAAATTTGGCATTTCGTAGATATTGACAAATTTGTAGTAGTTATATCCTCCCTCCTCACTCTTTTGCAAATTATTTTGTATAGAATAGGCGATTTATTGAAGGAATTGATCAAAATGGGACTTAGGGATTTAAGAATAATAAATTTGGATTTCGTTAGATATTGACATAATTTGTAGTAGTTAGCTATAGAACTGAGTTTTATATGAAATTTGCTATGTTTTGGCGTAAGAGTTGCAAGATTCTGGAACCATGGTACCTCTGGCCACTGTAGACGGCGGAGACAGCGGTGGCTCCCGTGACCGGAGTTTCCAATAGGCAGAACATTGCATTTTTCGTGTATGAATATATAATTAGTTTTACTATTCGACATCAATTGATATTGAACTGTGGATTGACGTATATTTAGAAATTAGGCTTCAGGCTGGAAAATCACAGAAAGTCGATAAACAAGAACTATACGATCTTAGAAAGGTTTAATTAGCTAGTTAGCAAAGTAATTACGTTTGGTTAGTATTCAAAATAAGTTATATGTATGAATTTGATAATAATTAGGATGTTTTAGTTTCTATGAAGTTAATATTAATAAGGGTTAATATTATTAAGTAATATGCAGTCGAACGTTAATTAAGGATTAATTAGTATGTTTTGTATTATATATAAATATTCTAAATCTGAAATCTTTTGATCTTTTGTGAAATATTTAGATTATATATGTAAACGCTTATTCATATTCGATAGACGATGATTCATGGATCATTAGCCGGAATTGCGAGATCTAAATAAATAAGAAGGGAATGGAAGAGTTGGTAAATTATAGCTGTATATAATTATTAAAGGTATGTATATATATAGTGACACTAGAAGGATGTAAAGGTTAGGCCAATATTAGTTTTCAATTGTTTATTTACTTAGTTATTTGCTTATTTGCTTAACCTTATAAAGTGAAGTTAAAGTTTGGTATCGGTGATTAAATATTGATATTGTTAATTGGACGAAGGAAGGGAAATTTAATTGCTTGATCGCCCGATGGATGGGCTGGGTGTAATGATTGATATCTATATATATTAAGTTGTGTTTCTTTAAATAGGTGGATAGTCCGATTTTTAAGGGAGGTTCTGCCGAAATTTCGACAGAATCTAGAATAGTTTTACTCGTGAATAGGCCGCAGGATTTATTTAGGATAATCCTTTATTATTTGGGAGGAAGTTTTAATTAATTCTTTCCTGTCCTCCCAATTTCATTTCATTAGAATCACTTTAGTTGGTTCATTAATTCGACAAGTTGGAATTGAAATTTAAGTATCTAGTGTAATAAATAATAATAAATAGTATTATATCATCAGCATTATGCATAGTTACATTGCTACATAATGCTATAATTGTCAATTTATTTGATTATCACTTATTTAATTCATTACTTTTCTACTTATTGTATATATGTTTATATTTGAACATTAGCATAACAATGTTTGTTCATTTAATGTGCTTGCATTTAATTGTTAATTTGCAATGTTTGGATTTTAGATGTGTTGTGACATTGCTATGCCTTGTTTGTATTGGAATTGGGATGAAGTGGTCCACTCGTGGGTTTGTGAGGACGTCCTGGAAATGATGAAAATGTTGAAATTTGACAGTCGGCCAGGTATGGGGAGCATTGCGCTAACCGTGTGCACCCTGATTGATATTGATATGGATGATACCTGATGATATGATATGGATAGTATGGAAATCACAGGGGTGGCCTTCCTGTTCGATTATGAAAAGAAAAGAGAGAATGGAAAAACAATTGAGAGGGGCTGTGGAAGTAGGATTTAGACTGGTTCGGCCCCGGTACGGTCCTGGAAATGATGAAAATGTGAAATTTGACAGTCGGCCAGGTATGGGGAGATTGGCGCTCCCGTGTGCACCTGATGATATGATATGGATGATACCTGATGATATGATATGGATAGTATGGAAAATCACAGGGTGGCCTCCTGTCGATATGGAAAAGAAAAGAGAGAATGGAAAAACAATGAGAGGGCTGGTGAAGTGAGGATTAGACCGGTCGGCCCGGTATGGAGGACCGGCTCCCTAGTGCACACGTCATGAGAGGATAAGCCATATGGGAGGACGGCTCATCGGGGGTTTCGGTGACGCCACAGACCAATTTCCACATGATGTGATTATGTGAAGGTGTTAATATGTGTAAGTGCTGTTGTGATGCCATTTGTGTTACTGTCTGCGTGACCATATAATTAGTCGGATAAATGGATTTAATTATTTACACATTCGTTTGAATGCGTGTGTGGTGCAGTAATTCCTATTCATTATAAAACTCACATTTCCCTTGTTTAACTTTTCAGGAATTAGGAATTTCCTACGAGTTGGCTGAGGCTGTGCAATCTTCTCCGCAGAGCTATAAAAGTAAATTTCTAAATTTCTGTAGTTGACTAATTAATGTACTGTTACTCATAAAAATTTTATTACTCCTAGACATTATCAAACTCCGCAGTTGTAAGATATATGTATCCCTAGTGCATGTATTACCGATAGCCCATGTTATGACTGTAGTGTATTACAAATTGGGCTGATTTATAAAGTGTTTAAAATGCTAAATTTGGGGCCGAAATATAGTATAATTATGAGGTTTATTGCGCGTAATAACATGGGCTGAATGGTAGAAATTCATATTAAAATAGTTGAATTTTGGTGATTCAGGCTTACTATGGGCCTCGGGGGCCTTAAGTTTACCTGAGCCCTAGTGCAGGTCCGGCCCATGGAAACGGGTCGTGACAATTTGCAGTATCTGTAAATTATAATCTTTTTGTTCACGTGTGAAATTGAGATTTAATTTGCAGATTAATTCTATTAACTGAATTTTTCGAAGGTAAATAATGGGTTAATGTGTTAATTGTAAATTTTAGTCAAGAAATTAAATTTCCTTTAATACAGCAGCAGCTGGTTTAGCTATTTTGCTTGATTTCTTGATATGATATGAAGAAATTGATGCCTTCATTGCTAGTTTTGGCAAAAACTTGGAATTTTGTTAAAAATGGCAGCAGCTATACTGGATAATCTATGGGTTTTATTTGAATGAAGCTAGGCATTGTTACATTCTCATGTTGATTCTGACCTACTAGGTGTCTTCTTGCTTGGTAAAAGAGTAAATCCTAGAACCTCTAAGCTGAGATCTTAGAAAGTTGGCCTTCTATATAGAAAAGGAATAGGAAGCTATATAACTTTAATTAAATATGATTAAGATGGAAAATATGGAGTTATTCAGTATATGTGAATGATAGACTTTGACTTGGTGTAGAAATTATAATGGTTAGTCTAGATTTATTTTTTTTTTTGGGGGGGGGGGGGGGTTTTTTTTTTTGGGGGGGGGGGGTGGTGTGTGCATGTGTGTGTGTGTGTGTGATTTCTTTTAGGTTAGAGATGATCAGGATGAGTTAATTATATAAGAATGTTAAATATAAGGATTAATGTAAATACATGGGTGTGTGTGTATATGAATAGTATAAGTTTAAGAATTTATTATGACCTTATATGGATATAAAGTATATCTTTTATTTAGCATGAGGAATTAGAAATAAAGATTTGACAAGGGTTCTGATAACGGTTAGAAGCCTAGTAGTTATATGAAGATGTGAATAGTTGACACGAATTTTAACTATATGAAATTCTACTTGTATGTGTAGGTAGGAGGTAAAAAGAGTTAAGTTTAAGAATTGTTGTGAACTTATACAAGGTTGAACTAAGAATTAAACATATAATTTGTAATTATTAGTGTTGTAATAAGACGTTATTGATAATGATGTCTATATTGATTGGAGGAAGGGATGTTAATTGATTCCCGATGGATGGACTGTGTAGATTTGATTGATAAATCTTTAATATTTGATGCTTGTTAAATAGGTAGATAGTCCAATTTTCATGGAGGATTTGCCGAAATTTCGGCAACATCTTAGAGACATTAACTAAGTTTAGAAATTAGAATTCTTAAATGTAAATATAGATCTATATAATGATAAACTTTTGAATAATGCTCTTGGATTGAATATCTATAAATGAATTCTACATTTATGATTCATTTGTTCCAAACATAAAGCCGGTTGTTGGATTGAGGTTTCTAAATTGTTAAAGAAACTTTTAATGTTTTTTGTTTTATTATAATTTTTTAAAATAAATTTGAAGAATTTTTATTAAATTGGTTTTAGGGTTTGTCAATAGTAATATTTATTATTATTATTATTTTTTTATTAAATTGCGTTTTAGGTTTTGTCAATAGTAATATTTTTATTATTATTATTATTATTTATATTATTTATTATTATTATTATTATTATTATTTATTCAAGCTACAAATCGAAAAAAGAATTTTAAAAGGTTTGAAATAAAATTATCTAAATTTGGTTTCAAAAACTTGGAACGAAAATTTAACCGTTGGTTCAAACTATTATTTATTCAAGCTACAAATCGAAAAAAGAATTTTAAAAAGTTTGAAATAAAATTATCTAATTTTGGTTCAAAACTGGAACAAAATTTTAACCGTTGGTTTCAAACCGTCTTAGAAACCATAAAAATGATTCAGTTTCGGTTCAATCTTTTCTATAACTGAAACCGGAAGTTTCTAGAACCGTGGTCATGCCTATCCATGATCATCTCTAGTCCTTATTCTCTCATTACGCTTCCAACTCTATCAAATTCCATCATACCTAAAATTACCAAACACAAAGTTACAAACTTTTCAGGTTTGCAAACACAAATAAGAGATTCATTATTTATTGTCATTTTTTTCCCTTTCTCAAAGCATGTGTATACTGTCTAACCAAAATCTCTAATTTTTATTTATTTTTAACTATCTTATTCTATTGCAAAGTGCTTTTTCCCCTCCAATTTTCATCTTTGTTTTCCCCCTTAATTTTAGTATTAATATGTTTGTTTCCTCATCTAATCTGATGCTCTGAATTGCCTTTTAGTTTTCTGGTTCCTCTATCAGTTTATGAGTTGTTATTGTATTTTTACTTGTTTCTATTGTGAAATTTCTTATTGCTTGTCCACCTTTTGAAACAAGGAGGTGACGGTGCAATTATGGGCATTGATGAGACAACAGTAACTTTGGAACCTGAGCAGAGCAATGGAGGGGGACTATATGTTCCTGGGAAGGAAAGAGTTGAATTCAGAGCTCCTCCAAAGAAGTCCCTTTTAGGTATAATCTTTTTATCATAGTATAATTTTTTTTTTTTTTTGTGTTTTCTGATTACTTGTTATGAGTGGTATAATGCTGCATCTCTTACTTGGATCCTACTCTTATATGTGTTTTTGAAATTTTAGCCCCCTCCTCCTTTTAAATATTGTCAAGCACATCATTATAATTGCAATTTGTTTAGTAACTAATGCCGACGAGTTAATAGGTTTAGATGTCCTTGCAATTGCGAAACGAGAAGGATCTGATGCAAATGATGTGTTCAAGGTCCCAAGAGAAAGAGTTACGTCTATTGCAGCCTCTGTTGATGACTCAGAACTTGAATCTTCTGTTATAGATGATGAAGGGGCCAGTGAATCTAATCGAAGTAGCAATCATTTAACTAGAAGATATCGTGAAACAACTATTCATGAGATTTCTCGTGGAGGTACTTTCATACTCAAGATCTCTTTGACAATCAACTTTAATTGCACTAAGTAAGTTGATTATGAAACTAATGTTTCCTCTCTTGGTTTTGGTTTGGTTTTTCATTTGTATAATATGATATGATGGATTTGTCTATGGTTGTAACTACCAAGTGTAATTGTCATTTTATGAAACAACTTTACTTTACCCTTGTTTTGTGTTGTTTCTACTCATTTTAAATTAGGCAATTGTTAAGCCACACTAGTACCTTCTAATAAAAAGTTTTGTAGATTTTAGCAAATTTTGATGTGTTGATTTGTGCGAAGTAGCATCTATCATGCACCAGCTATTTACCGACAAACTACACAAACGCATTCTTATGTTGAGCAGGTTTTTTCATTTGTTTAATTTTCATTCTTTTGTTTCTAATACAATTAATATGTGTGTTTAGAGGTGTGCTCTTTTACATGCATTCAAGGTCTATAGGCACACCCATGTGCTTTTATTTAATTCTTGAAAGATGTTTATGCTTGTGTTTCCCCTCCTATTTGTCTATCAAAAGCTTTAATATTTTTTTTAAATGATTTTCAATCATGAATTGCAGAAAGTACTGTTCCTCGGAAAGCAACAACTAGTGCTACACATGGGAGTCACTGCACGAGAGAAAATAGGTCATCAGATGTAAGTTAATCCTTGATTTTACTACTGGTGATCTTTGTTGTTGAGTTGAAAACTATAGAACTACTAGTGAAGTCTATCTTCTGGAAAAATTCAATTAGAATCATGAAGTTGCCAAATCGTGAATTGTTGATTTTTCATGGATGTCAATGAATTGCTAGCAGCTGTCATGTGAATTAAGCTAAGGTTAAATGCTAAAATAGCTCTTGTTTTTATATTTTTTTTCCTGTTCAATCTCTTTCAGAAAAAGAAAGACAAAAAAAGAGGGAAATAGCTCTTGGTTGGTAGAGTTGGCAAAAAGTTGGTAATATGTGTTATAATTTGGTAATTTAGGCCCTTTTTTGTAAGGTCTTCAATGGCCTTACTTGTCATCAAGATGCTTTGGTGCGTGTTTGATAGTACATAGAAATGCTTTTGCTTCATCATATAAGTGTTTGGCATGCAATCTTTTAGAATGATTTTATAGCTTCTCAAACTGCTAATTTAGAAATTGAAATAGGATGAGTTGGAAGGCCCAGACATTAATGTTTAAATTCTGGGTAAAATTGAAAGCTAGAAATAAGATTGACAATTAGGGTTTATAGAAGGGTGGGACTGATAAGGAAAACTAAATAAGAAGAGGGGTTTTGGGGGGGCTGTTTGGTAGAATTAAAATAGATGACAGCTTGGAGGACCAGTTCACATCATCTTAAGGATTTGGATTCCCAAATAAACTAAAAGAAATAACATAGTCCCAACCAAACGAGGATTCGAAATTAGGACTTAAAGTAAATATGAAGCTCATAAAGAAATAGGGAAAGGTTTTGCAACAAAAGCTGGAATTTACAAAATTGCCCTTAATTTTGAATTACTGGACCCGGCGGCCAATAGCTAATTTGATGTAGAACAAGTAGCAGAAAAATTTATGAAGTATTTGGAGCGTCAAAAGGCCAAGAAAAGTCCCAAGTATAATGTTTTCTTATTTTGGGCAGGATTTCCTTTTCCTGTTTTGAGTAGGTTTTGTTTTGCTTTTCCCATTCTGTTTAGGATTCTCATTTATTTATTTAGTATTAGTTGAATTTTCCTTATTAGTTTAGGATCCTCGTTATTTTAGGATTTAAAGGCTATAAATAGCCCTGAGTTTCTTTGCTTTAGAGCAGACTTTGTTTAGTTCAGCTCTAATATAATTGCTGGTTCTCAGAGTTTTCTTAAGTTTCTGCACTTGAAACTTATTAAGAATTATTGTGGTATAATTCTTGTTTTCTTCAACGCTTATCTCGCTGCGTCATAATTTATTTAAATATAAGCAATAAGTAAAACTCTAAAATAACTAGGAAGTAGTCTGTAATTTTCCGAATAAACCCTGGTTTAAATCTGGACCATCTAGGCTTGAGTTTATGAATTTGAATTTTCTTATATTCCTGTTTTGCATCAGAAATGGATATGGGGTTTCATACATACTTTTAGATGTAGATATGTAAGGTTCAGGGGAAAAAAATCTCCAGGTCTTTCTGCATCATGAAATGGCACAGCGCTTTTTGGGGAAACAGTTTGTAAAGTTATTTGCTGTGTGCAACAGTCCAATCTTTTCAACCTTCTATTTGTTATTAGTAATAAAACTACAATTTAGTGTCAAAATGATCAGAAGTCTCGTTCTTTACGGTCGATAAAGAGGTCATCTAGCTAAATTATGTGTTTCATGAGCCATTTGACACGGAAACTTTTGTTTCTGTACTGTGCATTTCCCATGTTTTGTCTTCAGAACTAGTGAAAAATTCCCCTTCAACTTTTTTGATGATTTGTCTTACTTGCACCAAACATGGAACAGATCTTTTTGCCCTGTCTTGCATGTGCTATTAGTTTTTGTCATGTTCAATATTTGTGAGCTTGAAATATTGCTCAACCTACTAAGATACAGTTTGCTTTTTTACTTATACAACTTTTTGGCTATTGATGTCTTTTCTACTGGCAATTTGGCATTTTGGTTACACTGTGTACTCAAATATCGGGGATGTTTGTGAACCTTTGTTAACATATATATGCATGTTGATGTCGGAGAACAAGATCAAAACTTCAGAATTAAGCAAAGACTCTGAAGTTAAAACTATTCTCATTACTGTAGCAGTCACTATTCAGGGTGTTTTTGTTTTATTTAGAGTAGTCAAGTCCATTTTCAATTAGGGATTACTCAATTCTTTATTCTAGTAGTATCATATGCTCTAGCAAGGTTTAGGGTGGTATAGGCAGAATCCTGGTATTATATTTTGGCTAATCTGATTATATTTTGACATTAAAATTATTAATCTTCTTTATCGCTGGGTCTTCTAGTATTGTTAGCAAGTATGTCAGCAAAGTTTATTGGCTTGTAATTTTATATTTTGTATGTGATTTTTATTAAGTTACACTTTCTGAATTGAAGGATATGACTAGAAATGTTAGTAGCTCGTCCAATATCCAATCTAGGAGTCCTAAGGGTGGGACAGAGGACCTCAAAAGCATCAGAAAAGATTTTAGGGATGACTCCAGGAGAGAAAGCAGGAAGGTAAGGCACAGGCATACTGTTAATCGTGAAGAGCGGAGTCATGGAAGGGAAGCACGTGGTTCGTATGAAAGAGAAGATAGTAGAGATTATGGCAGAAAAAGGGGTAGATATGAAGGTTCAAGTCGAACACCAGGTACACGTCACATTGTCTTGGTATCTTGTATGCCTTTTGCTTTACACAAAAGAAAAAGGGAGAATGAAACAACAAATGTGGAAAAATAAACAGAGAATTGGCATGATGCATTAGCAGAAATTTCTGTTGCTCTATCTATAAAATTTTTACTTGTTAACTTCCTCTCTGATACATATGCATGTGTCTCTTAAGTGTATGATGAACTTTGGATGTCCAATTGTTTTTATGGAAACCTCTAATTATAATATGTTGTGATGGATTGTCAATGAAGCCTGCTAGCCCATCTGCACCCTCTACATTTTCCTCCTTCAACACCAATCCCTTCTGTATTGGTGGGTTGGGTGGGGGACATAATCACGGGCTTCTACCGTTTTAGAGCTGGAGTCCAGAATAAAAACACTCAAGGGGAGAAGCATCACAAGATTCTAGCATTGTGAACTTGCATTTAAATTTTATTGATACGTTCTGGTATAAAAATATATGTATCTTGCAGGCAGGTCTGACTGGGATGATGGGAGATGGGATTGGGAAGAAACACCTTATCGGGATAGTCACTCTAATACCAACCGACAGCATCGTTCTTCACCATCTCCCATGTTTGTTGGGGCCTCACCTGATGCACGTTTAGTGTCCCCATGGTTAGGTGGCCATACACCTTCCTCTATTGGTATGTTGTGATGTTTCTTATGTGATTGAAACTTCTATGCCCTTTCTCTTCCTAATTTTGGAGTATATAACTTTTGGAAATGTACAGGTTCTACTGCTTCTCCATGGGATAATATTGCTCCTTCTCCAGTTCCAATACGGGCCTCTGGATCTTCAGCTAAGTCTTCAAGTTCTAGACATGTTGTGAGGTCCCATCAACATTCTTTCTCCTCTGCAAGTTCGCGATCATCGGAGGTGAATATTTGCTGATGCATGCTGTACTTTGTTTTATGAAGTTGCGTGTTCAAATTTCTTCTGTACATTTAGATGATGACCGTGCACTTTCTTACTTGATTGATTGCATGTGCAGGATGAGGGATCAGATAAACCGTATTCATCTGAAGAAAAAAATATTGAGATTACTGAAAGTATGCGCATAGAGATGGAGTATAATGCTGATCGAGCATGGTAACTTGTTTCTTAAATTAGTTTACAATTGCCAAAATTAGCTTCAGTTTTCTTCATTGTTACCCTACGAAGAAATCTTAAAGTGCAAAAATTCATGAATATCAATATATCATTTTTGTATCTTTGGTTTTGCTTCATCCCTTTGTCTGTATCTCTAGACATGTTCATACTTTTTGAATCGCATTCTGGATATGAGTTATTACATGTGAAATTGGAGCATTCATCTATTATTTGGTATCAGTCCAGAAGGGATGACTGATGACTCTCAAGTAGTATTCTCTTTGGTTATTGATATATATATATATTCACACACACTGACAGTCTGACACACATACACTTCCATTTCTGCTGACTGGAGTTTCATCATATAGGTATGACAGAGAAGAAGGTAACACAATGTTTGATGGTGATAGCTCATCATTTTTCCTCGGGGATGAAGCCTCATTCCAGAAAAAAGAGGCAGAATTGGCCAAAAGACTGGTAAGTTTAAAATCTGTGGAAAATATTTTCTGTTTCTTCATCCGTCTTTTTCCTCTTGTTTGGTATAAATGAAGTCCACAAAGTTTTGTGGAATTCAATTGAATTTCCATTTTCTCATATTTGGTATATATACAAAAAAACTTTCATTTCAATTCCATGGACTCAATTCTAGAGATGGAACATAATTAAACTAATTTTCAATGGAATTTCAATTCCACAAAATTTATACAAATTAGGTTTTGGACAAAAAATTCCCAGCCTTTAATTCACATCTCCTATCTCCTTTTACTCTTTCCTTCTTTCTCTCTCTCTCTCTCTGCTTTTTATTTCTTTCTTTAACGTATTTTTTTTCTCTGTTTCTATAAGGGTATTCTTGATAACTATCATAGTTTTATCTGAATTCTAGATAAATTTAAATCATAGATTTTCTGGAATTCAATCTAATTCCATATCTTACGTTTATCAGACCAGGCAGGAAAATACATTAAACAGAGTTCATTTGTCAATGACCTCTACATTTTAGATTCATTTATACCAGATGGGGCCTTAGTGTTAATTGGCTTACATTGCTGACATGTTGGCAGATGGATATTATATGTAAGGGACTGTTAGCACACATTTTTATTTTGTTGCCTATCTAATTAAACTTGCATGCCTTCTGGTGTTTCAAATTGATCATAATGTTTTTGAGTGCATATTTGAATCAGGAAATTGTTGTTTCTCCATATATGAGAATCATTCATTTGTTCTTTCGTAATGAGTTTATGGCATCATGACATACAGGTTCGAAAAGATGGCACTAGAATGTCACTTGCGCAAAGCAAGAGGTTGTCTCAGCTGACTGCTGATAATGCCCAGTGGGAGGACAGACAGCTCTTGAGATCTGGTGCTGTTAGGGGTACTGAAGTGCAGGCTGATTTTGATGATGAGGAAGAACGAAAAGTGATCCTTCTCGTACATGGTAAGAGAACATTATGATAAGCCTTGTCAGTTGGTTGGTGGAACAGAATGCAAAAAAGGTGTTACACTTCCTTTTAGCTAAAGCATATGTCATTTGTTGTGATAGATACAAAACCCCCTTTTCTTGATGGAAGAGTTGTTTTTAGCACACATTTATTTTGTTGGCCTATCTAATCTAAACTTGATGCCTTCTGGTGTTTCAAATTGATCATAATGTTTTTGAGTGGCCATATTTGAATCAGGAAATTGTTGTTTCATCCATATATGAGAATCATTCATTGGTTCTTTCGTTATGAGTTTATGGCATTCATGACATTACAGGTTTTCGAAAAAGATGGCACTTAGAATGGTCAACTTGCGCAAAAGCAAGAGGTTTGTCTCAGCTGACTGCTGATAATGCCCGAGTGGGAGGACAGACAGCTCTTGAGAATCTGGTGCTGTTAGGGTTACTGAAGTTGCAGCTGATTTTGATGATGAGAAGGAACGAAAAAGTGATCCTTTCTCGTACTCGGTAATGAGAACATTCATGGTAAGAGAACATTATGATAAGCCTTGTCAGTTGGTTGGTGGAACAGAATGCAAAAAAGGTGTTACACTTCCTTTTAGCTAAAGCATATGTCATTTGTTGTGATAGATACAAAACCCCCTTTTCTTGATGGAAGAGTTGTTTATACGAAACAAGCTGAGCCTATTATGCCCATTAAAGATCCCACCTCTGACATGGCCATTATTTCGCGGAAAGGATCTGCTCTAGTGAGAGAAATTCATGAAAAGCAAAGTATGAACAAGTCACGCCAGCGTTTTTGGGAGCTCGCTGGATCGAAACTTGGCAATATTCTTGGTGTTGAAAAGACTGCTGAACAGGTATGGTCTCAATGGAAATGTGCTTCATCTTTTTCCATTAAGAGGTTTTTGTTAGTTTTTTGAGCTGGAAATTTTTGGAGAAAAGTTTTAATACATAAAGATGAGAGAGTTTTTAATGGAACAATATTTTTCTCTTTTATGACTGTTAATACAAGAGCCTTTTTAATTTTTCTCTTTTATGACTGTTAATACAAGAGCCTTTTTACAGAAGGCTTACACAGATTTTTCCACTTCAAATTTAAATTTTGACTGGATATAAAGCTAAGATGACTTGCAAGTTTAAATTTGCCCCACACAATTAATAAATGTATAATGAATTCAAATAGATATTTCTAGATGCTGTCACAAACAAAAAAAGGTCTGCTGGTAGGTAACTTGGAGTTGGGGGACAAAGTTCTAATTCTCCTCCTTGGAACTTTGGATAAAAACTCTGAGCTTTCATATTTTTGCAAAATACCTCAACTTGAATCATCTTGGAGAACCCTCTCCTTAACTTGCTAAACAAACCCTCATTTCTTTCTTCTTCTTCTTTCTTTTTTTTAATAAAACCAGGGTCTCCTTCCACTACTTCTTGTGGCATGTTTGAGCTGTTTTATTCCTTAAATTGACAATCAAATCTCTTTCATTTAATGCATTGCAGCTTTCCCTTGTGCCAACAATCCTTCTTCTCCTCTTAAAAGTTCCAACATGGAGAATACTTCCAAGGCTGATTTCTGATTTCTGATTTCTGATGATGATGACTCTTTGAGCTTGAGTTTTGCGTGAAAAGCTCCCTTGATTGACACTTGATTTCACTCTCTTTCTTTTGAGTAAAACTCTGATTAGGATGCTTAATAACCAAAGGGCTCTGATACCGTTAGTTTTTGAGCTGGAAATTTTTGGAGCAAAACTTTAATGTACGATGATGAGAGTTTTTAAAGAGAACTCTATTCTTCTCTCTTACGACAGCTAATTCAAGAGCCTTTTCTTATAAGTCTTACACAGATTTTTCCACTTACAACAGCAATAACTTAACCTTATCCCAAATTAATTGGGTTCGGTTATGAATCCTATGATATCTACCCTAATCAAATTAATAGGAATGAAAAGCAAAGTATGAACTGGGCAAAAAAATTTTTGAAATACATTTTGTGGAAAAAAGAGTATTGAAAGGGAAAATTTTTTAAAATCATCGTGATATACTAATAAATAAAACAAATTATAGGGCATGCTTACATTTTACGACAACTTCCCTTCATGCAGTTATAGGTCGACCTCTTCCATTTTTAGCACCCTCCTCTACAAAAAACATCATGCTTACAAACTAGGTCACATGAGAGTCTATGTAACAAATGATAGTACCACTGAAGACCTCTTTCTCTGATTTTATCTTCAACAGCAGATTTTTCCACTTAAAATTTAAATACACTTTGAGCCTAATCAATTTTGAATTTTGATTAATATAAATCTAAGGTGACTTGCAAGCTTAAACTCGCATCTTATTATCTATAAAAGATTAATCCAAAATGAGATTTTGAGATGCTGTCGCTTAAAAAAAAAATCTACTGGTAGTTAACTTGGAGTTGTAGGACAAAATTCTAACTTCAACAGTTTTTGAAAATGTGATGTTATTGACATCTTTCTTTTAATTCTAGATTGATGCTGATACTGCCACAGTAGGCGAAGAAGGCGAAGTGGATTTTAGAGAAGATGCCAAATTTGCTCAGCATTTGAAGAAGCAGGAGGCTGTGAGTGATTTTGCAAAGACAAAAACCCTTGCGCAGCAACGTCAATATCTTCCCATATACTCAGTTCGTGAGGATTTACTGCAGGTTGAGGAACGCACAAAAAGTTTATTCTGTAGTTACTCTTGAAAAAGTTTATTCTGAAGTTACTTTGTCATTTGTTGCTGTTGGTTATCCCCTTGGATGTATGTATGACCAGTTTTCTCATTCTGTTTATAAATGTGCACAGGATAGGTGGTCCGTGAAAATCAGGTCATTGTTGTTGTAGGAGAAACTGGTTCAGGAAAGAAAACTCAATTGATACAGGTTTTCCCTATGTATTACATTTTTTCTTTTTTGTTTAACTAATAAAAAATGTTCAACTAGTTATACAAGTGGAATTATAGGCACCTCGTGAAGTGGAACCTGACATTTGGATTTTATTGACAGTATCTCCATGAAGATGTGTATGCACAAAATGGTATAGTTGGTTGCAGACAACCAAGGAGTGTGGCAGCCATGAGTGTCGCAAATAGAGTTAGCGAGGTGATGGAAACTGAATTGGGAGATAAAGTTGGTATGCCATTCGTTTTGAGGATGTGACTGGGCCAAACACCATAATCAAGGCAAGTGTGATATAAAATCTATGATAATGAACTCATTAGTCATTAGATGTTACTTTATACTTTCTTAGAATACTTTCTTTAGAAGCACAATTTTGTTTATCGTATTGATTGATTGCTTAAATGTCCCATATGTAACTTTCATATTTAATTTTATTTATTTTTTAGTTAAATCTTCAGTTAAACTTCACTTTCATTTTGCATCAATGGTTTCAAAAGATTTCTAATCAAGGGCTTTTATGATAAATTAAATTAGTCTACTTTGTTAAAAGTTATGGTAGATGCTCCTGTAACATGATGCTTTGTGTGAGCATTTTTCTAAGAAGTTGTAAAAGAAAAAATAAAAAATTGGAAATCTATGGGAATAGTTAGACGGTACAAAAAAGTGACCCTCTTGAAATTGAAGAGCTGGAAAACATTGAGAATGATTTGATAACAGTGTCTGGATTCCTGAGGACTTCGATTGTGAGTTATTTTAAGTTTAGTAGGTGCAGCAGTATTATTGATCATTGTAATTGCAGGTTATTGACCAAATTTATCATTGTAATTGCAGGTTATTGAGCGATTCATGTTACTTTCTTCATTAACCTTTACTTGAGTTCTATTCTATGCTTGTAAGACAATGGCATTCTAAACTTTTATATGCTCAATTGTGCAGTATATGACAGATGGAGTGCTTTTGCGTGAAACTCTAAAAGATTCTGATCTTGACAAGTATAGGTAAGAAGTTATTGTTTATCTCAATTTTATGAGGAGCTCATTTCTGCTGGATGGGAAGTCTTTAGTTTGATGGTTTTGTTGCAGGGTCATAGTCATGGATGAAGCACATGAAAGATCTTTAAGCACAGATGTGCTGTTTGGGATATTGAAGAAGGTAGTTGCACAGCGTCGTGACTTCAAGCTTATAGTAACATCTGCAACTCTAAATGCTGAGAAATTTTCCAATTTCTTTGGGAGGTACTTATTTGCCTTTTGCTATTAAAATAAGGCAGCATTCTTTAGTCCATTTGGCTTGAATAGATTTTAAATACAAATTTAATTTTAACGTGCCGCAGTGTACCGATTTTCCACATTCCAGGGAGAACATTCCCTGTGAATACTTTGTACAGTAAAAGTCCCTGTGAAGATTATGTTGAAGCTGCAGTGAAGCAAGCTATGACCATCCACATTACCAGTGCACCAGGCGATATTCTGACCATCCACATTACCAGTGCACCAGGCGATATTCTGATATTTATGACTGGCCAAGACGAAATTGAAGCGGCCTGTTATGCCCTTGCTGAGCGCATGGAACAACTCATCTCTTCCTCAAATAAAGCAGTACCTAAGCTCTTGATACTGCCTATATACTCCCAACTACCAGCTGATTTGCAAGCAAAAATATTCCAAAAGGCGGAAGATGGTGCCCGAAAATGCATTGTTGCCACCAACATTGCTGAAACATCGTTGACAGTTGATGGAATTTTTTATGTCATTGACACAGGGTATGGTAAAATGAAAGTTTACAATCCTAAGTTTACAATCCTAGGATGGGTATGGATGCTCTCCAAGTTTTTCCTGTTAGCCGCGCTGCTGCTGATCAGCATGCTGGACGTGCGGGTAGAAATGGCCCTGGTACATGTTATAGGCTTTATACAGAAAGTGCTTACGTAAATGAAATGCTGCCAAGTCCAGTGCCAGAGATCCAGAGGACCAACCTTGGTAATGTGGTTTTGTTGCTGAAGTCTCTCAAAATTGATAACTTGCTAGATTTTGATTTCATGGACCCACCTCCATAGGATAACATCCTCAATTCAATGTATCAGTTATAGGTCCTGGGTGCACTTAACAATGTTGGAGGTCTAACTGATCTTGGCTGGAAAATGGTGGATTTCCCATTAGACCCTCCACTTGCTAAGATGCTGTTGATTGGAGAACAGCTGGGATGTATAAATGAGGTTTTGACGATTGTGTCGATGCTTTCAGTGCCATCAGTGTTTTTTCGCCCCAAAGATAGAGCAGAGGAAAGTGATGCTGCAAGGGAGAAATTTTTTGTTCCTGAATCTGACCACTTAACTTTGCTTAATGTTTACTTGCAATGGAAAGAGCACCAGTATCGGGGAGATTGGTGTAATGATCATTTTCTGCATGTCAAAGGATTACGGAAGGCTAGAGAAGTCAGATCCCAGCTGCTGGTGTACGGAAAGGCTCAGAGAGTCAGATCCAGCTGCTGGCGAATAAAATTTTTTGTTCCTGAATCTGACCACTTAACTTTGCTTAATGTTTACTTGCAATGGAAAGAGCACCAGTATCGGGGAGATTGGTGTAATGATCATTTTCTGCATGTCAAAGGATTACGGAAGGCTAGAGAAGTCAGATCCCAGCTGCTGGATATTCTCAAAACTTTGAAAATCCCATTAACTTCTTGTGGGCATGATTGGGACGTTATAAGGAAAGCAATTTGTTCTGCATATTTCCACAATGCAGCAAGGTTAAAGGGTGTTGGGGAATATGTCAATTGCAGGAATGGAATGCCATGCCATCTTCACCCGAGTAGTGCGCTGTATGGCTTAGGTTACACTCCTGAGTATGTGGTCTATCATGAATTGATTTTGACAACGAAAGAGTACATGCAATGTGCCACTGCGGTGGAGCCTCAGTGGCTGGCTGAGCTGGGGCCAATGTTCTTTTCCGTGAAGGACTCAGATACATCCATGTTGGAGCATAAGAAAAGGCAGAAAGAAGAAAAAACTGCAATGGAAGAGGAAATGGAAAATTTGAGGAAGGAGCAAGCAGAGGTAGAGAGGGAAAGCAAGGAAAAAGAGAGGCAAAAGAGGGCAAAGCAACAGCAGCAAGTGTCAATGCCAGGGATGCGACAAGGCACTTCCACTTACCTGAGACCCAAAAAGCTCGGTTTGTGAATGTTAACTAGGGCTGTTCACATCGCTTATTCGGGTTACCAGTGTAAGAGATGCAAAAAGCTGACAGAGCACTAAACATGTTAGAGATGAATCTGTTGGTGACCTGGATAGAAAATTTAAAATGTTCCAACTGGTTCCAAAACAACCCAAATTGAACCGCACTAACCAGGATGTATTTATCTGTTGAATGTTATTAACATCTACCTACTATAACAGATGTTGTGCAAGGGGGAGGAAAATCATTAGCTGATATAAATTTCTTTTTTTCTTTTAATGTAAATATGTAGCCATAATATTGAAGTGCTCGAGTGAGGGTCGGATAATTTATTGCCTTGTACAGTAGCAGAAACTGTGCGTTGCAGGTAAGGATATTAGGTGGTGTTTTGATGGGATTTACACGGCTGCCTTTTGGTACGACGGAGCGCCTAGATGTCTTATGAGATGCAAACAAGACGCTAGTGGAGAAAAAAAGAATATAATTCTATTGATTCAGCAACTTATCTATGATATTTTCATTTTTGATACTTTTTTATTTTCTGCCAAATAACCATCAGTTTTTTGTATCACTGAATTAATTCTTGATTTAACTTTTAGTTTAAGCTCATTAGCAATAATTCTGCCACTCATCTGAGTTGATATAAATATAAATATGTAATCATTGTTTAAATGTATCCATTAAAATTAGTATTTATAGAATATATCCCCACGAGGACTCAATAATTTTTTTCCATCATTATTAATCAGGAATCGTGCCAAATAATAGAAGTACTTGGTTTTGTGAATTTATAGTTACAGTCATCTGAATGTCCTATCTTTATATAGTTCTCACTTCGTCACATTTTCATTAAAATTTTAATTGTCTTTTTTTATAATTTTCAAATTATCTCTATGAAAATCGTTTCATCTTTTTTATTTCTAATATTTTTTATGATACCAATTACGTGCTAAGGTAATAATCACTATCGCTCTCTCAAATTATCCTAGAACGGCATGGGTAAGTGAGGTGGATCTTATCACATTTTGGATGATATGGAAGGAGCCCTTCAACAATTGCCTTGTTAAGTCAAGCATTTGTGACTACGGGATGACCTATCCAACCGTTGTCTTATTGTTTGGATATTACTGATTGTAATTGATGAGTATAATAATTTTATTTTATTTTTTGATAAAAAATAATTTAATAAGATCGTAGGAAATTTTAATTGATTTTCAACCGGATTCAACTCATTCCATCCTCTCATATCTTGTCCCAACATATCTTATTGTAATTTTATTGTAATTTTATTTTAACAAAATTTATATCTCCAATGTTGGTTGTCCAGCATTTATATAAACAAACAAAATGCATTTAATTAATATGAGGTCTCCTCAAACATTCGTTTGGATAGAATATGGTTTTATATATATATATATATATATAAAGAGAAAATAGTTATGGAGAATATCGCAAATGGTTTTTTCTTTGTTTAAAAGAGGAGATGAAAATAATTAAGATTTAATTTATGTTTTGATAGAGTCCACATATTTGAAATCTCTCGATTAAGAGAAAATAATTTTAAAAAAAGTGTGAATTTTATTGTTTTTATAAAATTACTCAAAAAAAATTTTAAAGAATTGTCCATTTTTAAATTTCTAATAAGGGTATAATTTTTAATTTTCGATTCTTTGCTCTAAAATTTTGTCCATTCAAAATAAAGGAAAAACACAAAAATAAAAAATAACAATAGGAAGAAAATTAACAACTCATTATTTTCCTTCCACTATTTTCCAAATATATACTTCTAAACTATCTTACATTTGAGAGAATATAAATAAGAACTTTGTTGTATATCTAATATATATAATTCATACATTTACCAAAGAGAATAAATTATCTAATGGAGAATGAGAAATGCTCGAGAAAGGAGGTAGGCGGTTCTCTTCCAGTTGAGAATGTGCAAGAACTCGCTTCTAAGAACCTAAAAGACGTACCGGTCAGATATATCCGGCCAGAACTGGAATCTGATGAAGTTTCCAACGATGACTCTCCAAATTCCGATAATCGATATGAGCAAGCTCATCGACGGCAATGAATATGAATTAGCTGCGCTTCATACGGCTTGTAAAAATTGGGGCTTCTTTCAGGTATAAAATTAGTATATCGCTGATTTAATTATTTATTTGTTTGGATTGATTAATTATATTTAATGGTTGAACCTTAGTTAATAAATCATGGAGTAGAAGAAGAAGTAATTGAGAAAATGAAAATGGATGTTAAAGAGTTTTTTAAGCTACCATTAGAGGAGAAGAAGATTTGTGCTCAGGTGCCTAATAACATAGAAGGATATGGACAAGCCTTTGTTGTTTCTCAAGAACAAAAGCTTGATTGGGGTGATATGCTCTTCCTTCTTCCCCAACCTCTGTCTCAAAGAAATATGAGATTTTGCCCTACTAATCCCACTTCTTTTAGGTAAATCTATGATTTGATATTTTGATTACTTTTAGAATTTCAGAACAAAATTTAATTGTAAAAAACATGAATTTTTTTTGGTTTCTTTGCATTAGAGCAACCCTTGATGAGTACTCATTAGAGCTGCAAAGAATTTCAATATGCTTGGTGAGGTTCATAGGCAGGAATTTGGGGATTGACCCAGAAAAGCTTGCAAGCAAGTTTAAAGATGGGACACAAGGGATAAGAATGAATTATTATCCACATTGTGCTGAAGCACATAAGGTGATAGGCCTAAATACACATTCTGATGCAAGTGGACTGACCTTATTAATTCAAGCAAATCAAGTACACGGATTGCAAATCCACAAGAAGGGTAAATGGATACCCATCAAACCCATCCCAGGTGCATTTTTAATTAATATTTGAGATATTATTGAGGTAATTACTAATTTACAATTATAGAAATTTTCGATGACATTTAGGTTTGAGAAATTTAAAACCTATAATTTGATTGTATTGTATATACATAATAAATACTATTCTTTAAAGAGGGAGGATTTGATTTTTGTGTTTTAAAACCAAAAATCTAAATATCCATCATCATTTCTATTTTCACTCCCCTTCTTTTTTATTTATTTATACTTTCAGTTTTTTTATTTACAACACAATACAAAGTTTAGATTGAATATGCTAAAACATCCTTGCAAAAAATATAAACATTTTGTTATTTTATAATTTAACTATGTTCTAATTTTTTTAAAAAAAATTTAATTCCCTTTTAAGTACTATCTATATGAATACTACATTTCTTAAATTTATCATAAAATTCTTATTTTCTTACATATCAATTGTTTAACCAACGTGCAGACATGACTAATTTTAAGATATAATTTGTATTAATTCATTTCATCATATAGTTTATATTAATTCATTTTTCATACTTAATATAATCTTTTTTCTTTTATTAACTGAAAAGATGAGAAAATATAATTATAATCAAACTAAATTGCCACTAAAGGTTTCTTTTTAAGAAACAATTTTTGATAGTTTGATTGGTTTTAATTTTTTTCAAACCAAACTAACCTGCCCTAGTTCAAAGTGCAAAATTCATCACCCCCCTTGAATGTCTATTTCAAATTAATTTTGCTTCTCATGCAGATAATGAGCAATGGACAATATAAGAGCATAGAGCATAGAGCTGTTGTCAATCCGGAAAAGGAAAGGCTTTCAATTGCAGCATTCCACAGTCCAAACATGAATGCAATGATAGGACCTTTGGAAGATCTTATCAAAGACGAAAAAGCAAATTACAAAACAGTAACACATTACGAATATATAAGGCTTGTTGTTACCAGAAAACTTGATGGTAAAAGCCTAATAGGCCATATGAAATTATTATGAGAGTGAAGAGGTTTCAATGGAAATTTGAAAGTTTTAAGTTCTCATTTCTTTGAAGCATTCAAACATTTTATCTCCAATGTAATTTAATTCCACAATTGTCAATTCAGCTAGTAGAAAAACCCTTCACACAAAAAATAGTTAAATAAAACATTAATTGGAAAAATAGAAATAAGACAGACTCTAAAGGGCATCAGTTCTCCAAGGTGAAATAGCATCAATGATATAATTCAGTCGCAAATTACCCATTAAAAATATGAGATTCATCATTTGCCCCAAAATAATACACACATCTCAAAATTAATATTAAAAAAAAAATAATTTCCAATCAAAATCACAAAAAAGAAAACCCAGATTCAATACTTTTGAGGGAGGATAGCGATCAGAACCTGTCGGGATTCAAACTAACATCACAGAATAATTAGTCAGTGGATTGACAGACTAATGAATTTCTATCGTCACCTCGCTTTTACCCTCAAATCGAACAGAAAAAAATTAAATTCCATAAACAAAATCTAAAGAAAGCTTTAAGTCTTAGCTCAGAACTTCTTAGAGGGTTGTGTTACCATCAAAGACGGCTCAAAACAGAACTGCCTCTGGAACACAGGTATACTTTCATCATAGCAAGACCGATATCATAATAAAGATACTACCACTAAAACGAAAAACGAAAAATATTGAGCTCTTACTTGAAATTTCAAATAGAATCAACTAAGAAATATTGAATTTTGATTTGAAAATCAACTCAAACTCAAGGACTTCCGAAAGCGAGTTATGAGAAGCTACTGCAGCTTGTGATGGAAGAGAAAGGGAGAAAGGTGCTATTTATAGAAGCAGACGATACACAATTCTCACAAAAACCCTAATCCCGTATATCACGTGATAGCACATGATGGTTAATGAATTTTATGACCCGCTTTCGCGTGCGAGTAACTTTGGTTTTTATTTTTTTTATTTTATTTTTTTATCGTACGTTTGGTTCAATATAATGCAATTAAAATATAATATAATGAAAAATATAATGGAATGAAATGTGATTAAGATTTCATTGTTATGTTTTAGTTAAGTAATTGAAAAAATTAATGAAATGTAATCATCATTTTTTTTTTATTTTTGTTTGTAAATATGTAATGTAATTAGCACACCGTTATCGCCACCGTCACTCTATCTTCTCCACCACCACAACTACCATTCTACTGTCATTACTATAACCACATTATTATTAATAATTAAATATTTAAATTAAAAGTTATTCATTATATCAAGTTATTAAAGATTATTTAGACCTATTAACTATTTGGACTAGAAAATTAAAAAATAAATCTTAAAAATAGAATTTAACAAAATAAAAGTTAAAGTCATTAAAAATTATTATTTTTAACATAATTTTATATATTTTTATTGAAATAAATTAAATTACAATATAAAATTAAGGTATTTTGATCTTTTTAATGATTTTTTATTTCATTCTTCCTATTCCTATAATAATATAAAATAATAATTAATAATGATGTGGTGGTGGTAGTTGTGATGGTGGTGATTATGATGATGGTGGTGAAGTGATGGAGTGGTAATTGTAGTTGAGAAATGTAATAGGGTTTGCATAGATTTTATTCTTTACATCAATTTAAGTAATGAAGATTATATATGCAATCTCGATTAGATTACAAGGTTAAAAAATAAGTGTCTAACTAAACATTATAATCAACCATATAATGTAATTTTCATTCTATTATACGGTTGATTACAGCAAACCAAACATTGCCTAGGTCTTGGAGCTGTTTAGACTGAATTGTATATGCAAATTTGAATCAACAATTTTTTGAAATAGCGATTAAGTCATAAACAACAATAATTTTTAAAATTTTAAAAATGTATTTAGTATTTTAACTACATTTAAAGTATTTATTGTTGTTATTTATACTATTTTGTGACTCAGGGTTTGTTCAGTAATATTATCTGTTTTAGTAGCTGTTAGCTTTTTTTAATAGTGGTTAGCAATTAGATATTAGTTGTTAGCTCTTAACCATTTATATAATTGTTTAAAGTAAGAGTTTTCGGTAAAAATAACTGTTGAATTTAAAATGATAAAAAAGGACATTTGAATATTGTGTTAAAATTTTAGCTTATGACTACAGAGAACTCATTATATATGTAAAAAAAAAAACAAGATTTATATTGAAACGACCCGAAAATTTAATTTCGTAGAATTTTCATTTAAAAAAAATAAAATTTTTATTTCAACCAATAAGATTACACCAGCTAGTATTTTAAAAAAAACAAGATTTATGATTGAAACGACCGAAAATTTAATCGTAGAATTTTCATTAAAAAAAATAAAAATTTTTTATTTCACCAATAAGATATACACCAGTAGTATTTTATTACTTGCTAAACTAGACCCGTAAACCATTCGATTTTCGAAAACCAAGCTATTGAGCCAAATCATAGCAATGTAGACCAACCCGGTTCGGAATCGAAACCGGAATGGTCTAGGGAGCCCAAGATTTTCTTTCTTTTCTTTTTTTCTTTTTTTTTCTTTCTTTCCCCTTCTCCTTTCTTCTTCCTCTTCTTCTTCTTCTTCCTTTCCACTCCAGCGTTGACCTCACCTTGCCCTCTCCTCTCGTTTTTCGATCACCGGAGACCAGCGCCACGCCTTGCCGTCGCCTCCACGCCGCAGCGGATTCTGGCCTCCCTTCTCATACCTCTTTCATCTTTGGCGTACGTAGAAGGTGCAGGAGAGCCGCGACATCCTTAGATCGGAAAATCACGTCGAGCCTCCCCCGGCTTGATTTTTCGGCGGCGTCGATTCCTCTCTTGTCGGTGAAGAAGCTTCGGTCTCTTCTTCACTCTCCCCTTCCTGTTCCGGCTAGCGCAGCAAACCAAGAAGCTGCTCGCAATAGGTACAGTCGCGCTATCTGCTTCCTTTTCGAATTTCCAACGAGTTGGGTAAATTATTTTCAACCCTTTTCAATACATTTCATGAATTTTGATAATATATATCATAGAAATTGCGAAATTCTTAGGCTACGTATTATTGAGATTAACAAAAAAAAAAAAAAAATTGAACGCTATGTTTTTCTGTAGAAATTTATGAACTATAAAATAAATACAAGGAAAAAAAATGGTGACAATTAAATTTGAACAGCAGAGCATAGTTCTTTCATATATAATTACCATAAAGATTTAGAGTAGGTGGAGCAGAAAAATAGTCACCCTAAATGTAGGTGAAATTTTGCAGAGCGACGATCAACATCAGTTTTAACAGTATTGAATAGAGCAGGAACTCTGAAAACCTTCCATTTTTAATTTTCTATGACCTGCTATTTGGGTATGGTTTGATTAATTTTGTGCAAGTTGTGACACTGTGCAGCAGGGAGAGTGCCTTGCTTCAGCTTTTTATAGGCTCTATTGGCAGTTAAACACTTAAATTTAAAACGTTGTCTTTGCAACATTCAAAATGTTGGTTTCCTTTTATACTTTGGTAGTTAATAAAAAAAAAAAAGCTGTGGTTCCTTGATGTGTATTATCATCAGCTAAATTTTGTTGGTGTTAAATTTCAATTGTGCATTGTATCTGCGCGTGCCGTTTTTCCTGAACAAAAGCTTCTCCAAACACTTACATGATATGACTCAGGTGCAAGGCGGTCCTCTCTTACCACATCCAAGTCAAAAACAATTTTTTTTGACAAATTGAAAGGCGGATCAGAAACGGATAAACAAATTTACCACATTTAGAACTTTTTTTTAAATTGGCGTTGGTGTAATGGATGTCACATAACATTAAGTAGCTCGAGCCTTATTCTTGACATTGGTTGTTTGAAAGGAGGATGAGCAATTAAGCTGATTGATTAACCGACGAATGGGGCTTGTGTATGTTGGAGAAAATATACGAAATAATTGTGATATCTTAATAGGTGGATGGTCCAATTTTTAGTGAAGTTTGCTGGCCGAAATTTTCAAATAGAACTAGGCACTAGTTTTAATTAATAACATAATTAATTAAGTTCTATTCTAGATTTTATTCTTATAACTTAGAGTAACATCATAAATAGGAGTGCTTCTAATTATTATATTTATTATCATTATTATTCAGTTAATTATTTTAATTAGGTATTTAATTTTCATATATTATTGTTAATTATTTTATTATTGTTGTTCAGTTGTTAATACTATTGATTTAATTTATTCGTATTGATTTTTGGATGTCTAATTGTGCATTGTATTACGATGTTCCACAACTTTGATCAATATGTCTGGCCATTTGATTGCAAAGTTGGATTTTATTGTGTTGTGATAATGGCTATGCTTTGTTTGTGTGAATTGGGTTGAAGTGGTCACCATGGGGTTTGTGAGACTGTTTCTGTTATACGGATCACTGATTCTGATTCTGTTAATATTCTGATTCTGTTATCTGATCCTGATCTTCTGTTTCTGTTAGCCTGTGTAAAATGGGAGATCGGCGCCGCCCGTGTGCACTTACGTCTTACCGTTATGTTTAACCACAGGTTGCTTCTTTATTGGGCGCACGGATCGATCTAGATTTGATCGACCGCAGGGTGGCCTCCTGTTGGTGAGCGCCTGATGATCTAGATTTGATGGAGACGACCGGGTTTGCCTGCCTTGTTGGTATGGAAAAGAAAAGAGAGAATGGAAAAATAATGAGAGGCTGGTCAAGTGAGGATTAGACCGGTCGGCAGTATGGGGGATCGGCTCCCTGGTGCCACATGGGAGAGGATGAGCCCATGTGGAGGACGGTCATCGGGGTTCAGGTGACTCCACTGATTAATTTCCACGTGATGTGATTATATGAAGATGTTAATAATTGTGAGTGCTGGTGATATGCCATTTGTGTGACTGACTGTGTGAGCATATACTTAGTCGGATGACTAGGTTGATATATTTATACAATTGTGTGAATGCGTGTGTTGTGCAATAATTATGATTCATTAATAAACTCTCACATCTCTTTTGTTCAAATCTTTCAGGAAGTAGCATTTTCTAAATCCCAGCTATAACTCTGCTCTTCACCGTTAAAAAAGAAATTCACTAATTTTAGTATTGATCAATTAAATAGATATGTCCGAAGAGCTATGCATACATCCGTCAGTAAAAACTCCACGTTATTTAGAACTTGTATACTTTTAAGGGTGTGTTTATTATAGATGAATATTCTGTGAGCCTGTTATTATAAAACTATAGGTGTATTGTAGCAGGGAAACTTTGTTAAATGTTTAAAAATTTTATTGAGATAGCAAAATTTGTAGTGTTTCAGGTGCTACGGGCTCGGGGGCCTGCAAATTTGTAGTGTTTCAGGCTTGCTACGGGCCTCGGGGGCCTTAAGCTTACCTGGGCCCTAGTGCCGGTCCGGCCCATGGAAATGGGTCGTGACATATATAATATATTAATTTTTTTTTGTCAATCTATATAGTGTGTAGTCCGATTATATAAATTGAAATCACTATCATTCCTAAAATGATAATATAATTTCCTCACATATCTCTTAGTTAATTCATTATTAAATTATTTTTTTTATTTTTTTTTAAAATAATATAAGTTTTTAACATCATTATAGACTTACAGTACCATAACAACAATTAGAAAAAAAGACTTTAAACTCATATTAAAATATTAATTTAAGTTAATTAAGGGTAAAAAAATTTTCAATCAAAGAATAGAAATGCTAAAAGTTATTAAATAAACATTATCTTATCCACTTTAATAAACATTGCTTTATCTACTAAAAGCTATTTTTATACTACCTCACCGCATCACATAATCTACAAAAACAGTGTTTTGACACAGTAAAAACGCTAAACACCTCATAAACGCTAGTTCGGTAATAACTTTTTACTTGCGCTTAGCATTTCGATTAAATTTAAAATATTACATCTATTATTTATATTGTTCAATAAGTAATATGTATACCAATGTTTAGAGTTGAAAAAGTCGATTATAAAATATTATTCTGTTCGATTATAAAATATTATTCTGTTCGAATAGCTCAGCTCATAATTACTGGGACAACTAATTTTATCGAAGACTCAAACCAACTCATTTCATTGTTGCTTGACGGAATCAGTTAAAGGTCCCATAAGCCATCAATAAAACAAAACAAACAAAAATCTTAAATTTTTCCATTAGATTATATATAGATAAAGGATAAAGAAGATTAGGTTATGAAGAGACAAGTTGCAATCCGTTGCAGTGAGCAGATTGAATATTATTATTTACGAATTGAAAACTTGTAACAAAATAAATCAAAAATAGTTTCAGATGGAGCAGAACTAGCATTTGCCTGAAAAGAAAGAATTGAAGCATTACTGGTCACTTAAGGACCAATCCCCTGCTTACAATGTAGAATTAGACAACATTATTCTGGGCCTACTTGAAAATATAAATATATGGTAAATTATCAATTGACAAAAAAATGTAGAAAAGGAATAGACTAAATTAAATAATAATAATAATAATAATAATAATAATAATAATAGAGAGAGAGAAAGAGGAAGCAACCCTAAAAACTATGTATTGATTTTCCTGTCCTAGCATAGTTTTGAACCTGTAGTCTCCACCTTGGCCAGCTTTTCATAGCAATAAGATGAATAAGCAACAGCTAATAGGAAACTTGAAGTTAACCAGAGTAGAATGGAGCAAACCAATAGTCACCAGTTTGCAACTAATGTTTAGTTGAATTAAGGTCAATCTATTCACTGGAAAATGCTGCTTACAGAGCAATCATCGTGAATACGCCAAATGGTCTCGCCCAACAGGTTCGCTACTGAAAGAACAGTCAACTGAGGGAAATAGTTCTTCTCAGCCACTGGAATTGTGTTTGTAATAATCACTTCTTGAAATAGGCCACTTGACAACCTCTCAATTGCAGGAGGGCTATCAAGAAAAAAATAAGTAATTAATACTGACGCAAGCAACCTACACATGCACATAATGACATAGTAAATCTATACGCTTGCTCCATTACCATTATGCAGAGAGCCAAAACTCAACATATTACCTTTCTGTCTATGAGGGAAACAGACATCTTAAAAACATGCATATTCACAACAATACAAAGAAAACTTTGGCAATTTTCTAAAAGGCGGTCTAGAAGGCCAAATTTAGAACTTTAACAGGCAATGAAAGCTTTCTTGAATGTTGGCACTTTCAATATAGTACTTCTGAGAAGAAGAAGAGGAAGACAACGGCTGGATGTAGTCAAATTTGAACTACACTGTGTCTGTGGACATTTTTTTATCTAAAAAGCAAAACAATAACTTCCTTGACAACATGGAGAGAGTTCCAATAGTGGTAGATTCCATACTCTCCAGAGGAAATTAAGAAACTGAAGAATATAAACAGAACAAATTGAAACAGATAATACAGAAAGAGAAAAACTAAATCAAATGTTATAATTTGTAATGAATTAGTACCTAAAAACAGCATGAGTGCAGCATGCATAGACTTCCCGGGCACCTTCATGGTGTAAAAGGGCTGCTCCTTTTGCAATTGTACCTACAATGCATATGCATTTTATTGTTCAAAACATAATTAAGTTGCTGCTTTTGAAGCATCAAAGTCAAATGCCCCCTGAATGTCAGTTATCTTTTCAGGTCATTTATCTTTCCTTTTTATATACACAACAACTGAAGGGGAATTTCAATTGACATGATTTGATGCTTGCCTTCTTATAGATAGCATTAGTTTTACAACTAGGCAAAGGCTTACTTCGTTATATACACGATTAGAACATTCCTATGCAATTGAAATATTCAGTCCTCTTAAGACTTAAAAACAAATGTTACAAAAGGTAACAAAAAACTGATCAGTTAGATTTTACAAGGATTCAAAGTAAAAACCAAATAAATCATTGGAACAACTTCCACTGCAAACAGAAATTGTCTGTGAATTTTAAGTTAGAATGGAAGCAAACCAGAGGTTACTGAGAATTTCTTCCAGCCAACTGCCAAATGGGTCTAACTGCCTAAAAAAAGGATGGTGAAACAGAAATTGATAATGATAAAAAATTCAATGAAATTGAGAAATATCAGCCATCAAATACTCAGGAAAGACAACATAACAAGAAAAAAACTAGTCCTCTAGTTCCTCTGTAACCAATTTTAATGTGCTGTCAATAGATTTATGGGTTAGATACCAAAAAGATTGCCTACCAGCAGTGTCAATCATGTCATCCACCATGACTGCAACCTTTCCTTTTACATCACCAATAAGGTTCATAACCTGCAAAATTAGCATTTAACCCCATGGTTATGTCATGCAGAGGGATATATAATGGCACTCAGCCATGGCTGACAATGAGGGTACAATAGCTAAGTAGTATCTTCCATCTTAAAGATGATTCAGCATTCGCTAATCAACAACCTACCAAAAATAAGAAAGAGTAAAAGAACAAGAAGATTAGACAATAATATTAATTAAACATCCATAAGAGGAAGCCTTAGGACCCGTTATATAAGTTGGATAAAGATTAACCAAACCCACATGACTCTGTCTGGCGCTTCCATTCAGTAACTACACACGTCAGAAGAAAACTTAACTGTGCATATCAGGAACATAAAACAAGGATATCTAGTTGGCTGAAGCTATCCTCTGTCTCCCAAGTAATTTGGAGTTGGACTCCATTTCCTTTTTCAATGGCCGATGCTACCAGGAAAAGTATACTATTTCTAGCAGAATACAGGCTAATACACAAACTTTATTGTTGGGCAAAGATGCCACTCTCAATGACTGTGATATACAAGGGTGTTGCAAAGAGAGTAAAAGCCACCATGAAATTCAAGATTTTGTGCATTATTTGACAAAGCTCGTTTTGCATAACATTCCCTTCAATATACCAATCGAAGATTTTTCTAACATCCATCTAAAAATTAATTTTATCAAATTCCTGAAATATAACTCATGTCCAATGTGATGGAACATTCATAATAATAGCTGACTTTGGAGAATCAAAGTTCACCTGAGGACTGCAAGTGAACATGGGAAGAAGAAATCAGGAAGGGTAACATTGAATTTCAAAGAGCACAGACAAGGGATAAGCAACAAACTTCATAATAGGGTCTTTAAAATGAGACACTTATTCAAAAACTTTGAATAGGTATCCAGAAACAATAGTAAATTCTGATGCCAGGGGAGATTTTATTACCTCAGCAACATTGTGTCCCTGACGCCTTTTATCCACAATAGCTAAAGGGGCATCAGACAACTTCTTTGCAAAAGCACGTGCTCTTGCAACTCCACCAACATCAGGTGAAACCACTACCAAGTCATTAGAAGAAACTGTCTTGCTTGCAAGATAATCAAGAATCACAGGCTAGAGTACCAGAAGTAACAGGGATGTATTAGCGAATACAACATGGATAGATCATGCCAAACAATTAAAAGAATGGATTAATAACCTGGCAGTACACATGGTCAACAGAAATATCAAAATAGCCCATGGACTGGCCTGAATGAAGATCACAGGCAAGAACGCGATTTGCACCAGCTTCTGTGATAAGATTTGCGACAAGTTTGGCCGCAATAGATTCACGACCTTCAGTCTGCAATTAAAAGAAAGTCTCCATGATAAGTTTCTAGTAGCTCTAAACAAGCATGATACGATATATATGCTTTCAGAGATCATTGCCTTGCAAACTCAAAACACAGGCATTGATATCATACCAAATATTGCCTATAATCAAGTTCATCAAACTTTTAATTGAGAGAACAGAGATGAGAATGGCATCAAACTCATCCTGAAACTAATGATTTCCCCTTTTAAAGACAGATAACTTGGAGTACTTCAAAAGAAAAAGGGAAAGCAAAAAAGAAACAGATTAACTGAAGCAGTTGCCCATCGTGCCAAATGATACCAGTTAAACAAAAGCCCACCAAGCAGTTGATTTTCATTACCAAGAATATTCAAGATTTCCACATTCATGTTTGTAACTTGTGATCTTTCAATATAACCAAGCTGTAAATGAAACTTACCTTTCTATCAGCTCTGGCATATCCAAAATAGGGAATCACAGCAGTGATATTCTTTGCTGATGCTCTCCTGCATGCATCTATCATGATCAAAAGCTCCATGAGATTCTCATTTGCTGAGGGGCAGGTTGGTTGTAATAGATATACATCACATCCTCTAACACTTTCTTGCAACTGGACATAAATTTCACCATCAGCAAATCGTTTTATGTTGATCTTTCCTAATTCGAGGCCCATATACCAAGCAATTTCCTGGAGATGATGGCATACTGTTAACAGACAGAAGGTTCCAATAATAACGAAAACCATATCACTTGATAGGTAGTTTTGTTTAAGGAGTGCTCCTAATAAGACAAAAAGAAGGAAGGATTTAAATAGATGAGGCAGAACACTCTTAACATGCTTTCAGAAATATACATTTACCGAATGAATACCCACAAAAGAATAGGGAAGTAGCAGTTGCTCTTGCCGCAAAAATCAAAATGAATCGGACAAAGATTTAGTAACAGGGTAACTTCTTAGAACTTACAAAAATAGTCAACCTTTAAACAACCAAAATCCGATGACTGCAAATCAATGACAGTTTAACTTAAGATCGAATTCCATCTAAAATAAAGAAAAGCAGATATGACAAGAACACTTAATATCCATCAATTAAGTATATCACTCTCACGAATCACCAATAATGTAAATTTAAAATATTTGGTACGTCAGTTATGTCATAAGGACTCTCAAATTATATTTCAAGAATCAAGTCCGCATATTAAAAAATTTGGAAGGTTTATCACTGTCTCACAATAAACAAAGTTTATTTGCCAACAAAATAAACCACCGACCACAGAACAACTCAAAATTCAGTTTGTGCCATCACAAACAAGAGAGAGTAAATTCTTGCCTAAATACGATAGAACCCACAGGTACCTGAGAAAGAGCAGGATTTGCAGAGCCAGAAAACAACTTCAGCCTCGTACTATTTCTGTTAACTGATTTCTCCATGCGGGCAGATTCCAAGAACTTGGGCAGTGTTCTTTCATTAAGAATAGGAATACTAGGCTTCCCATTCCCAACATTTACTGGCTCAGCCATATCGCACTTCTGCCACAAGAAATAACTTTAAAATCAGTTCAAAATCAGAGTTCACAACTTTTCTTCCGTCCCACCAAAAAATAAATAAGTAAATGTACATTTTCTTGGCAGCTATTACCACAGCAGAATTTTACTTTTCCCCCTATTTTCTTAAAAGGAAAAAATTTTTTTTTTCATAAAAAGAAAAAACTCAGTTTTTAAACATAAAACGAAACAGACGACATGGAAAACTTACAACGCTAGGATGGACGAAAATTCGAGAACGAGACTCATTGGAAGACAACGAGACTCGAGAAGAAGAAAAGAGTGAAGACGAGAAAAACGACTGCGTTTTGAGCGACAACGACGACGCTTGCGAAGGAGACGACATCATTGTGACTGACGCCATCTGAATTAGGGTTAAGGTTCAGAGGTGGTAGTGGTGATGACGGTAGTGATATAGTGGTGGCTGTGATGGAGATGGTAGTGATTTATCGCTCTTTCGTCGTTCTCCTCGGTCTTCGTTCCTTTGTAGCTTGGTATTTCGGCTAATTTGGCAAGAAAAGGTATAAGGTGCCAAAAGAACTTTAAAACGACACGCAGTTTTAAATAGGTAGCAATAGCATTACTTGAATCTGGACCGGCCCTTTAGGACGAGACTAGATAAGGCAATGTTACTACTCGTTATAGTAAGTGACAGAAAATATATTTATTCTTCTTGCGGTACTTTCTGTTACGTCATTGCCACGTGGAATATAATATACCTAACTGGGAATTGGATTCTCTTGTGTTGGTCAAATTCCACAGCACGTGGAAAATATTGACATCGGAGTCCTCTATGTTTTGTCCCTTCCCCTCCACCAAAGTATTGGTGTGTTCCGCGTGGTACTGTTTAACTGTTTGGGAACTTTTTAAAAAAATAATATTAATTTTGATATTTATATTTGTCATTTTTTTCTATTTTAATATCTAAACGAAAATTTGTGATATAAATATTTAAATTTGTAATTTTTTTAATTTAGTGTCTCCTGATAATATAGACAAGCTGAATATTTAGTGATACTGACTGAAACCTACAAACCCTTATATGTTCACTTATGTAGACCGATAATTTTTACACATAGGATGCCAACACGACAAAAAGGATAAAATGACTTATTTGCCCCACTTTAATATTGCCCCAAACAACAACACTCCCAAAAATCTAATCTAAGCATTTGCAGGATTCATACAAGGCCCGATATACTTACTGCCGACGACCACCAATCCAGTTGTCGCTGTTGTGGGGTCCCTCCAACATGTGGGACCTACACACATTTGAAAAGAAAAAAAAGAAAGAAGAGATTCAAACGTGTGGGACCCACACACATTTGAATGAAGAATGTGGACCTACACACATTTGAAAAGAAAAAAGAAGAGAAGAGATCAAACGTGTGGGACCCACACACATTTGAAGAAGAAAAAAAAATATAGCATTTATTTTTGCTTTTCAATGGAGTGCCAAAGAAAGAAAGAAAAATGGGGAACAGTGGACGCGTTGATTAATGATACGGATCCATCATCCACTCGTCGCATGGATCACAAGAGGCATGGTGAAACGACGAAGGAATCCATTGGTGCTTCCTATTGGACCGATTACAAGGAGCCGTGCCAACGATATGGGGCAGCCATAATCATTATTTGCTTCAAGCCCAAATAACACATGATGTTGCATTCAACAAGTGTTGCTTCTAATGTTGTTGGTGGCTCTTTAAGTGGAGGAAAGCACGCTGCTACAGTAACGTGCTACAGGAACTCAGAAGCGCTACAGTGCTACAGTAACGCGCTACAGGAACTCAGAAGCGCTACAGTGCCGCGCCAATTAGTTTGACTTGCTACAGTAAATTTGACTTTTCTACAGTAACGTACTACAGGAACTCAGACGCGCTACAGTGCTACAGTTAGCGTGTTTTATGTGTTTTATGCTTCATTAAATCCTAGTTTCTTGTTTTAGTATAAATATCTTGTATTCCATGTAAGAACACAACTTTGAGATATTGAAAACTTCATATGTTCAAGCTTTGCTTGTTCTCCTTTGCATATAGTGATAGTGAGAGATTGCTTCCTCTAATTAATTGCATTCAAAATTTAAGGTAAAGCTTATCAACTGTTTTGGCGTTTATCTTCGTTCTTTGCTCGATTATGGTGTTACCGTTTCATTATAAAGCGTGGGGTTGCCATAGAAGCGTTTAATCTCGATTTATTGTGTTTCCGTTCATTATAAACGTGATGGGGTGCCATAAAGCCAGGCGAACTATATCTCATTCTTTGATCCGATTCGTATCATTTGCGTATAGAGGCCAATCAAAGTTTGAGGGTAAGTTCTGTTATCTTAGTTAGGAATTTTAAGTTTCTTGTTGTTGGATTCCATTGTTAGTTTGTCTTATTTTCTTGATTTCAATTGCCAAGATCCTGGATATTTTCTCTTTAGATCTTGTTGGATCTAGGTGTTTCCTCGTAGATCTTCTTAGATTCTGCGAATTTCTCTTTGATTTTTGTGCATCTATATATTTTCTCGCGATCTAACTCTAGATCTAGAATTACCTTCTATTTGGAATGCTTCTTGTTGTTGCTTGTTACTTTCAGTTAGAAACAAAAAAAAATCAATTGATTTACATTTATACGAATTTATAAGTTATTAATACCAAATCTGGAGATATTTGTTTGTGTTCTTGAATCTTGTTGGATCAAAAAAAAAAAAAAAAAAAAAAAAAAAAAAAAAAAAAAAAAGAAAGTCATTGTTGGACAACTAATTATTACCTACCAAATTTGACTTGGGGGACACAAAAGCATTGTTGGACAACATAATCATTACCTACCTATATTGAAATTGGGAGACACAATTGCTGGACAACCTAAAAGCATTTTGGCTTAAATTGGAATCCTATCTTGAGAGAACACAAATCATTGCTGGAAAGGTTGATTCTTTTGCTTGGACCAACTATACTACATTTATATACACAAGCATGCAATTTTATAGTTAAAGATAATCAACCTGTGACATCAAGTAAATCTAGTTATCACTATAATTTCTGTGTCAATTCTGGTTTTTATTGTTTGCTTGCTTTGAATTGGGTTTAAAATTAATTAGCGTCCATATTTGGTTGCTTGTAGTAAACTAAATCACACATCTATCCATTCATACATTCTTTTAAATTCTAGTTTGTTTATTCTTGTTTTGAGCTTTCTTTTGCATCTATTACATTATTAGGGTGTATTTGTTTGTTCACTACACTCTAAATTAATATAATCATGTAGTACATCATCTTGTCTTTGTACTACCATCCATTATCGTTTTCAGTATTCTTTCTAGAGTTTGTGCTTACTTTTATTGTTAAGATTTATTTCCTTGATTCTAAAACGTGCTTTCAAATTGGTTGGTTAACCTACGGTTCTAAAGTACAATTCGAGGAATTGCATGGAGTGATTGCGGAGTGTAAACACGTGAGGGAGTGCTTTATCACTAACTCAAATCTTTTTCGTGTTTTCTATTCTTGAGTACTAACCATGAGTACAGACACATCTGGAGGTGGTAACGGAGATGGAAATCCAATTAGAGATCCTCAACTAAAATTGTTCATGGAATCTATCCAAGGACAATTTAGAACCTTTAACAATCCTTTAACAATCTCTTTCAAGACATGAGGGAAGAATTGCAAGAGCTGAGGAGGAATTGCAAGAGATAAGGGCTTCACAAAGTTCCAATGCAACAAGAGGTCGACAACAAGCTAGATTTCAACCCCATGATGATGAAGATACTGAAGGTACTAATTCTAACAAAATTGATGGGGGATGGAGACTTGGGAGCAATCAAAATGAGGATCCCAGAATTCAATGGCAACAACAATGCTGAAGAATACCTTGAATGGGAGAGAAAGGTAGAACAAATCCTTGAATGCCATAATTATTCCCAGGAGAAGAAATCCCATCTTGCAGCTGTGGAGTTCAAAGGATATGCTATGTTTTGGTGGGAACAATTTCTACTAAAAAGAAGAAGTAGGGGGATGCGACCGGTACCACCATGGGAGATCATGAAGGAATTAATGCACCAACAGTTTGTCCCTGCTCATTACTTTAGGGATTTACACAACAAACTAGCAAGAATGGTGCAAGGAGGGAGGAGCGTGGAAGAGTACTATAAGGAGATGGAGATGGCAAGAGCCAAGATTGAGGAAGATGTCCAAAATCACCATGTCACGATTAAATCACCATGTCACGATTCCTTGGAGGTCTAAATAGCTATATTGCTGATGCTTTGGAGATGTATCGCTATGATACACTAGAAGAGATGATAGATATGGCCATGAAGCTAGAAAGGCAGAACAAGGGAAAGTCTACCAACAAATATTCCAACAATACTTTGGAAACCAAATGGTCCAAAGGAGGAGAGAAGAGAGATTTCAAAGGTCCTAGTTTCCAAAGAACTGAATCAGTTTCGAAAGGTAAAGAGGTTGCCCAAACTACATTCAAAGGAAACAAAGGTACTTCTAACTCTATAAACCCTGCTAGAGATTAAATGCTTTAAGTGTTTAGGAAAAGGGCATATTGCATCTCAATGTCCTAATAAAAGGGTTATGATTGTTAGGGAAGATGGAAATGTTAATTCTGAATCCGAATGTAGTGATTGTGATAATATGCCTCATTTGCATGATGTTGATAATGATAATTCAGATGAGGATGAGCATAACTTGTTGTTTGCTGAACGTGGAGAATCTCTAGTTGTTAGGCTTGTTAGGCGAGTTTTGAAAGAGTTTTATTCTTAATAATAATTTTTATTTTCTTTTTTTATTACTGAATAATTTGTAACTATTATCATTTTAATTTAATAAGATGCTTATTATTGATGAGGGTAGTTGCACTAATGTTGCTAGTGTGAGTATGGTGAGTAAGTTGAATTTGGAATGTCTTAAACATCCTAAACCTTACAGATTGCAATGGTTGAATGATTGTGGGGAGGTGAAGGTGACACGCTAGGTGCTTGTGCCATTCTCTATTGGATGGTGATGAGATTTTGTGTGATGTAGTACTGATGCAGGCAGGCCATCTATTGTTGGGAAGGCCATGGCAATATGATCGAAAGGCACTACATGATGGGTTCTTTAACCGATACTCTTTGTGATATGAATCCGCCAACACTCATCCATGGAGATCAAAGGAACAAAGGAGCATGTATACACCGATCAGAAGAAATACTTGACCGAGAGAAAGAGAACTTTCCAAGCTTTGAGGGGAAATATGGAGATGAGGCTTCCAGTTCGAGAGAAACTTAAAGAGTGTTTAAAAGAGAGGTGAAAGGAAAGAGGCCACAAAGATTACCAACAGATTGGTGGCCCAAAAGTGAGTGAAACAACAACGAGGGGAGAGAAAGAAAACCCACACTTTTATGCGCAGAGCTAGAGAGGTCAAGTGGCCATAGCCTTGCAGGCAAAACACCGTGTTCTTCTTACGTTCAAGGAAAATTTTATTTATCTTAAACCGCTACCACTTAATCTTGATGCGTTTCACCTCCTGTGTTTTTTCTTATTGTTACAGAATTCACTGAATGTTTTTCCAGAGGAACTACCTAGTGGGATTTACCACCTTTGAGAGGGATAGACATCATTCTTGAATGTATAAGGACATGGT